GTTATGACTATCAATTCCTTTGATGTTCGAAAAACATCGTACATCTTGAAGGTAGTTATCAGCTTGCGGATATCTTCTTCGTCGCGGCGAATTCTAGAGTAGCTGCTATCCTTGTGGTCAATGTCTTCCTCTTTCTGGATGTGAAACATGGCTTTAGTGTCATCTGCTAATCTTGCCCTTTCGTTATGTAAACTTTTATTCTCTCTGTTGAGTTCGTTTACTAGCAGAAGTTATCCTATATCCTGCAGTCTGCGGTTCTTTGTCTTTGCATTTAGCTATATGTTCTTCTCAAACGCTTCAGCTGCCAACTAAACCCGAATACACGTGCCCCCAGCCTTAAATACCGGGGCACAGCCCACCCACAATTCACTGGGATGGTTACCACAGGTAACCCACGCTACAGTTATACGTCAGGCACCAACGATCCCTTGCTGTGTCACTCCTTGTGATGCCGACCAGTCCTCCAGCAACTTTTCCAGCTCGGTTTACATGTTCTAGTGCTTGATCATCTGGGATCTTGTTAAACTTGTTTTGTGATTCTTTTGTCACAAACCCACCCTATGTAAATGCGAGGTAAACATCTGGTGCTATTTTAGGTAACAACTGCATGTCGRCCATGAAGATTATGCCCCATCTCGTGTAATTAACATGATCGAAAACGCTGAACCATGGAAGCATTTCCGCAAAGGAAGAGAGGAAGAGTTCCCAATTGCCTTCCCTAAGAGCGCGGGTAAAGCGGAGTAGAATGGATACCATGTCCATGTATGTCCTCCAATATCGTATAGTTGCGCTGTCTTTGTGCGACGAATCAAATTCCTGGGTGACATTGACTACCTGAGCAATCGTTTCCATTGTGTCAGAACATGCATTACCAGCAGCATTTCGGTCACGTTCTGAAAAAGCATCAATCAGCATATTGGTATGCTCTTCAAGGGAACCATCTAACGTTGTTCCATTCTCTTCTGACCACTTGACTATTAAAGGCCACAAAATTCTCCAAAGAGCTTCAAAGGTTAGCTTGTGTGCTCTGATGACGCGGTTCCATACCTTCCCTTGAAGGATGTTGGCAGCTGTGTTCTCTCCATATACCTCATTTTCAGACCAAATGTCACTGAGGCCACATGAGTGTGTAAATTTTCCGATTACTTTCGAGAAGCTCATTTGGGTATGGAAACCCCCAAGCATCAGAACCAAGGATTTGCACTCGTTGGTCTTGGTCCACTGAAGCATCTTCGCCTTACAATAAAGTGCTTCATCTAGAGTGATGACTGTGTATTTTCCTTTAATCAAATCTGTCATAGCTAAGCACCTCAGTATAACTGTCCATAGGGTGTCATACTCGTGCGCAGTTGCATTGATTATTGGAAGTGGTCCAATGACTGTTGGTTTCTGGCTGCTTTGATCTAACATCTGGTTAAAACCCGACCATCCTGGTATCTKTTGTAGTTCAGGGTTTTCTTRCTGTAGACGAGATAATAMCCACAATAAATCTTTCTTGACTGACTCGCTGATCAAAGTCTTATCTGGTTTATACCATTTCATTTCTACAGGACCTTGAATTACCGGTTCAGGCTTGTCTGTAGAGGTCATACCTGATTGCTGCAGATCATGAAGGTCTGAAGGGAGCTCTAAATCTGTTTTTCTGTGAGAGGTTGTATCTATATGCAGATCAACTTTGGTTTMTTGTTCTTCAATTGTTCTCAGAGCGGCAATTTGGGTGGCATGAAAAGTTCCTAGTCCACTGAGTGTCTCCTCGTTGATGTCGATGTTGTCTGCAGCATAGCGCATGTAACTGGCTCCGGTGCACTCTTTGAAGCTACTTGGGATGAACACTCTGCCATTTTCATGGTATCTTTGCAAGACATCGTTCGCTATAGTCTTGTCAA